CCTGTACTTGCAAAAGCAAGCAAAGGTACCGCAAAATCATACGATTTTGCCTGTACTTGTAAGTAAGGAGATCAGAAAAGAAAAAAATAAACACATATACCGCAAGATCATGCGATTTATTAGCGGTATCACAAAATCGCATGATTTTGCCTAACGGCATGCCGTTATTCCGCCGCTTGCGGTTGGTACAGACCGACAGACACCCTACCCAAGGTTTGTTCGCGGCCGTTACAAAGTCCACTACAGATTTTATTCTTGTAAAGAATTTTATGCTTTAGACAACGGCAACAGTCATGCAAGCTTACAATTCTTGTTCTTGCTCACATAATTTAAAATTCCTGTTATTGCGCTGCTTATACAATTTTTACAATTCTTCCTCTTGCTCACACAACTTTAAGTGTGTGTTAATAGCGGCGTCAACAGAATATTTGTTGCTATTATAAATTTATAAAATCATTTAAAGTTTTATTAAAAATTGTAAACAAATTGGACGCTTATTCTCACATGTTTGGAATTATTGAGAATCATTTTCAGTTGGCGGCAAATTTTTATACGCTTATTCTCAGATGTTATTTGTTACACAGTCTCGGGTTTTTTGCAGGCAATTATTTGACTTTTGGTTTAGTTTCAATAAAAGCTTACCACAAGAAAGCTTACCACAAAAGCTTACCTTAAGAGAGATATACTAACCAAGGATATGTTAATTAGGAATTTGATTTATATACAACAATAGGCAAAGATATCACCAATTGCTAAAGAATTATTATTAAGGACTTATTTACTTTTTCAAAAATTTATAATTTATATATATAAACGGACGCTTCTCGAAAAATTTTGGACAAACGACGGAGAAAAAGATTCAAAAGGACAAAAAGGTAAGTGGAAAGATAAGCAAAAAGATAGGCAAACAATAAACAAATAGATAGACAAAAAACAGACAATTTTTTTACTGGCCAACTTGGAACAGTACAATTGCACAGACCGCAATTTATATGCAGTAATAGCTGATTTTTCAATTCATAAAGACGAGACGTTATAAACTAACTACACGGGTACAAATTTTATATGCCTTTTATTTGCCTAAGCTTTGTTTTAAGCAATTTTTTTTCTATAAATTTTAATCCATATCTATAAGTCGTTGTCCCTAAAGGAACCCTTCAACGGTTGATGATAGTTCTAAAGTAATCCTTTTAAAGCATCGGGTGTTAAGCGAATACTTGAAAAGTAAAAGAAAAAAGTACAAATTAAATTAATTAAATGAATTAAATACTTCATTGGCTATTGAGCTTTAATTAAGCACAACCAACTCTAAAAACGTGGCACCATCCTAAAAATAAAAGTACCGCTTAGTATCTACAATTATTAACTTAAAATCACGTAAAAATGATTTATTGAATTTATTAAAAAAATTAAACTTTGTTTCATTTATAACTTCAACCTTCATCTAATTATTATAACTTATCTTGATATTATATATTATAGTATGTAATACGTTTCCGTTATGAAAAATTAATATGTATGTATGAAAGATTAAGACACCCTTGGTTACAGACGGGAAAGTAGACATTTCCGATCTTTCAGATAACCACGAAATACATTTTTTGGGACTTGAGGAGGAAAAAACACATAAAATAATATTAGTTATAATCGAATCAGACCATGTATTCAATAGAGCAGAATTAGGTGCAATAGAATTAGAAGAAGTAGAAGAATTAGAAGGCCCCGCACTACGTGGCTTTGTAGCGTAGAATTAAGCAGCTAGGTATTACATACCATTCCCGCGATCAGCCCAACAACAAACACCGCTAGTTTAGAAAACACAGCTCAAGGAGACGTTGGCGGAAGAAAAGAAAGCAACAATACTGTATACAATGGCGTTGAAAGCGGAAAAATAAGAAGCAACAAGGTACAGAGAGACATTGAGGGCATCGACTAAGAATCAGATGTAAATTACGAAGTTAGCAAGCCAAACATTTGGTTTTTCAACGG